CCCAGCTCCGGGAATGGAAACCTCAGGGAGAGGAAAGTGGTCTCTCTCTTGAGGGGGAAGAACCGCGACGGCATGCAGGACCCCCCGCTCCCCACACAACAAACCCCCTTCACTCTTTCCCCGTCGGAAGCCCCTTGCCCGGGGGCGGAGCGGGGTCACGAGCTCCAGGGCTGCAGCGACGTGACTCCCCACACGGCTTTTCAGGCTCCCCCTCGTGAGGGAGGGGGGAAGGCCTCGGTAGCCCTCAGGAGCCGCGGCCCAGGCCGAGCGGCGGCGACGGACGGCCCACTGGCTCTCCCGCCCCCTCCCCTGAGGAAAACCGCCCAGCCCTCGACGGTCGACGACGCTCGCCTCACCGGTCGGCAGCGGCTCCCGTTCGCGTCGTCGCCTCTCCGAGCGGCCGCTGAGGGGAGCAAAGCGGGGGGGGGAGGGGCGCCTCTGAAAACAGCCGTTTGCTTCTCCTCCGCCTCCAACGGCCAAGCAGCCCCCGCCACCGGCCACCGATTGGCTGCTGCTCCGCTCGGAGGGACAGCCGGGCCCACCAATCGCAAAGCGAGGTCCGTGGGCGTTTCCGCCAATGGCTTTACCCCGCGCGCCGGGCCCCGCCTCCCCGCTGGTTAAAGAGCTCCGGGGAACTCGCGTCGCCTTTCTTTTCTCGCTCTCTCTTCCGCTCCGGCGCTGGTCATTGGTCGGGCGGTGACCAATGAGAAGTCGCGCGAAGGAGGTGCTCGATGGCAAGCGCCGCTCGGATTGGAGGAGGACGAGGAAGAAAAGGTGGGCCGGGCCACGGCAGGCCCGGCCACGCCCTTTCGGGCCCCTTTGGGAAAGGATGGGTGAAGCGACGCGGGCGGCCTACGTGAGGACGTGCACAACAGCAGCCGCGCGGAGGTGGGAGGGGTTTGCGGGGCCTGGCGCACCAATCGGGGAGGAGTGGGCGGCTTCTTTTCCGAAGGCCACGCCCTCGCGCGCTTTTCCCCGCCTCTCCTCTGCTATTCCCCCACGCGAGTTTGATTACATGTTGCTCAGCAATCCCGGTGGGCAAAAAAGGGAGAGACCTGACTAGGTGGCGATCAGAAGGGTCGGCGGTTCGAATCCCTAGTACAGATCTCTTGCGTGAGCAGGGGGTTGGACTAGATGATCTCCAAGGTCCCTTGCAACTCTGCTAATCTGTAAAACTGAGTCAGTTGTTTACCCAAATAGGGGTGCAGATCCTAGGGTGGGAGTTGGGGCGTGCATAGCATTACACCTATGCTGTTAGGGGTGGTGGGGGGGGGAGACCCATTGCCCATTGGGACTCTTCTCCTAAGTGATATATCTACAGTAGTGGCCAAAACTGTGGAAACCTTTTGGGAAAAGTGTATTTTTGAGGTTTGATGACTAATAACACCACTTTTTTTTTGGAGTTTCAAGATAATCATATTGCACTGCTGGAATGGCCTGGGAATAGCCCAGACCTTCTTAACCCAATTGAAAATCTATGGAGCAGACTAAATAAACTTGTTAAGTCAGAAGCGACCCAGCAATCAAACCCAGTTAATAGAAGCCATCATTCAATCTTGGTTTCCCATTATAACGGCTGCAGAACTAAAAGACTTGGTTCACTCCATGGGAAGACGTTGTAAGGCCGTCATTCATGCTAAAGGTTATCCAACTATTAACTGACATGGTGATAATTTTTGTGTATCTCATTTTTTCTATGGGGATAATTTTTTGTGTATCTCATTTTTTCTACGGGTTTCATTTTTCTTCTTTATACTGTAACTGCTATTCTAATGGCAAATCTTTCATAAAAGTTATTGCATTCCATTTGTGATTAAATTATCTTTCCACTGATACATAATTTTATGGTACTACTCCAAAAAAAAAAGTGGTGTTATTAGCTACTTTTAGAAAACACACTTTTCCGAAAAGGTTTCCACAATTTTGGCCATTATTGTATGTACCAATTTATTCAATTAAAACATCCATCCCGTTGCAATTCTGTGGCTTTGTGTTATGATTGTGATTTTATTATCGTGTTATTAACATAACATTGTGTTATGAAATTATGTGATTTTTATTATGGTTCCATTTTAATATTTTATCACTTATATTGCATTGGCCACATCTCTTTTGGGGGGAGGGAGGGAGGGAGGGGGTGGACGGATGGATGGATGGGTGAATGGACGGACAGATGGATGATGGATAATTAGATGGATGGAGGAGAGAGGGATTGATAGGTAGGTAGGTAGGTAGGCAGGCAGGCAGACAGATGGATGGGTGATGGAGGATGGATGGATAGATGATGCATAGAGAGATTTGCTGACGCTTTAAACTAAACTTTTATATTGGTGATTGCATGAACTCTAGATGCCATATGCTATTCATATCTAATTTTTATTATATTTATACATTAGATGGATAAATTAATTTATATCTTACTTTTATGTATAAATTCTATATATTCCCTATAGAAAGGCATATAAATTCTATATATCGAAATTTATGTTCCTTTTTTCTTTCTCTATAGTTTTATCCTGCTCTTCGTAATATGTAGTAAATGCATCTTGCCACAATTCCCAGCCATTCTGCCCAGAAGCTATAACTGTCTATATTTAATTAATTATATTTATAAGTTAAAATTAATTCATTTCTAATTTGTAAATTATAAACTGAATGGATGGGAACTAAACTTATCAGCCTGCCCAGTCTTGGTCCAACACCTTTAATCTCTATCCCAGACTGATTTTCAAAGCCAGACAGAAGAAAGTTGTTTTGGCTTGTTCTTTAGTAAGGCAGTCAGATGTGCAACGATTCTGTACAAGTAACATTACAGGTAGTCCTCAACTTACAACCACTTGTTTAGTGACCTCCTCAAAATTACAGTAGCACTGAAAAAAGTAACCTGACCAGTTTTTCCACTTATAACTGTTGCAGCATCCTCATGGTCACGGAAATCAAAATTTGGATGCTTGACAACTGGCATGTATTTATGACAGTTGCTCTGTCCTGGGGTCATGAGATCACCATTTCCCACCTTCCCGGCCAGCTTCTGACAAGCAAAGCCAGTAGGGGAAGCCAGATTCACTTAACAACTGCAGTGGCTTAACAACGAACATTTACGACTCAATAATACTCCAAATGTCTAGAACAGTGATGGCCAACCTTTTTACCATCGTGTGCCAAAAGTGGGTGGAGCGCGGGGGGGGGGGTCATGCACGTGCGTGCCCACACCCAAAATTCTATGCGCCCCGCCCCCCAGCACATGCCCGTGTGACCCCCCTCCCACGCTCCCCCCTGCTTTTGGCACGTGATGGCCAAGTGGGCCCGGTAGACCCGTTTTTTGCTCTCCCCAGGCTCCAGGGCCTTTCTAGGAGCCTGGGGAGGGCAAAAACAGCCTCCCCCCCAAAGACCCTCTGGAGGCCGGAAATGGCCCGTTTGCCGATTGGTGGGCCCAGAAGGCTTAAAAATCAGCACACCGGAGCTGAGCTCGCGTGCCCACCGATATGGCTCCATGTGCCACCTGTGGCACGCGTGCCATAGGTTTGCCATCACGGGTCTTGAACTACCTGTACCCAATTTGGTTCCCAGGAAGCTGGTAAAGTTTAATCAGAGGTCACCTTCATTTAAAGAGACAGAGCACTGACAGATTTGTAAAACCCGGATGAGGAATTGGACAATTTAGAGTGCACACAAAACCAGTTAAGACATGCAAAGGTACATTGGTTTAGAGTGTATGCCCCCTTTTCCCCCTGCCCATCCTCCAAAAAGTATTTTGCTAATTAAAGGAGACTTCCTGTTAATTATAGATTTCTCGAAGGTTGCCTGTCATTTTGCGAAGGGATCCCTAATCTGTTCCGTGCTTTGGGGAAAGAAAAAGAAATGTGGCTTTAAAAGTGCCAAGAAAACTTTTTTTTCCGACTTTAAAAAGCAATGGGAGGAATGGATGGGCGGAGCCTGGTAAAGCTATTCAATTTTGAAGTCTCAGTATTACCTCCACGATTAGATAGATCGTTTCAAAGGTTCATATCCTGGCTGTGATGACTTTGAACATCTCCAACTCCTAAAATCAGCCATCTCTGTTTTCATGGGCCCAAGTTGGTTTTGACTCCTGGCAATTGCCTGGATCAGATTTTTGGAAGTAAATTGCCTTTGTCTTCTCCTGAGGGTGGAGAAAGAAGGACTGGCCTAAAGTCACCCTACTGAGTTGGTCCTGAGGCCTCCCAGTTTCTCATCTGGTGTTTTTAACTATTATACTAAACTGGTTCTCACCCAACTATTTAATCCAGTGTTTTCAAACTTGGCAACTTTAATAAGATGCATGGACTTCAACTCCCAGAATTCACCATGCTGGGAAGTTGAAGTTCCACATTGCCAAGTTTGGAAAACACTGATCCAGGCTATATTGTGTAGGAAGCTTTGGGAAGTAATAGCATAAAAGTATATATGTAGTCTTCAATTTACAACTGGCCACTTAATGATTGTTCAAAGTTACAACAGTTCCCCCCCCCAAAAAATTACAAGTAATCTTTAACTTATGATCACAATGGAGCCCAAGATTTCTGTTGCCAAGCAAGACAGTTGTTAAGTGAGTTTTGCCCCATATTGCGATCTTTCTTGCCACTGTTGTAAAGTGACTCACTGCAGTCATTAAGCTAGTAACAAGGTTGTGAAGTGAATCCGGCTTCCCCGTCGACTTTGCTTCTCAGGTCGCAAAAGGGGATCACACGACCCCTGGACACTGCAACCGTCAGAAATATGAACGGGTTGCCAAGCATTCGGATTTTGATCACGTAATCCCAGGGATGCTGCAACAATCGTGTGAAAAACGGTTGTAAGTCACTTTTTTCGGTGCCGTTGTAACTTTGAAGAATCACTAAAATGGGTGGCTTTAACTGAACGACATTCTTGCAAGTCATTCATTGCCCAGATCCCAGCAACTAGATGTATGAAACCTACTGACAGAAACAGGATAGCAGACTAACTCAAAACGATTTCAGCATTCAAGAAGGCAAATGATCTTTTTGATAGGAAATGTATTTTATTTTGAGAACTTCTGTTTGTACAAAATTAGCATAATTCAGAAAGGTAAAAAAAGTTGCTTGCTTCTGAACATTATTACAGATTTATAAAAATGCAAAAAAAACAAGTACATTTGTTCCAGTCTGTTTAGCGTGAAGAGTGATTTATTTAGCAACCCTGGTTTATTTATTATGTTGAGGTATTCACTGTAGAGTATTGAGACTGTTGAGGTGAGAAACAACTGACCGCTGAATATATAGTCAAGATTTTCCATTCAAAAACTAGTTACATATCTAGTTTCCCATCCTAAGCAAAACTAGAAAATTCAGAATTAGCAGGTTAAGAAACACGCATGCGGACTGCAAGATGATCATCTAAAACTAACGATACAGAATGATAATATTACAGTTGATCATTCCAAGAACAAAACTTTCCTCTGGCAGCTTGGAGTTCGGTGTTTTTTTTTTTTAAAGGGTTCAGAGATCAGTCTGATCAGCAAAGAGGACTGTTAAATTGTCCTTTTCAATGGCTTTTATATGTTCCCATAAGACACCACAAAAATTAGGAAGCAGCACCTGGCTGGCAGATACAAAGGCAGAGGTAGCCGTTTTGCATAAAGGCTCTTAAGACAAACGGTTGATAAGGAAGAACTGTTGCTTTTAAAAACAAAAATAAACAATACACACAAATAAAACAATGGAGTCTCGACACAACCGAGGGAAAACGCTGAAGCCCAAGCCGCATTACACAGAAGCACACCAAAAATGCTGCCTTAAAAACAGCTAAAACACTTCAAACTTATGGCCCTGGATCCATTGCTTCAGAAGATTGTTCTAGCAATTGAGCTACATACAAGATTTGATTCGTGAGAGAATGGCTTCGCTCCAATTTAATAGCAGGTTTCTGACAAGCAATGTAAGGTTCCCTTCGACCTATGCTCTGATCTGTATATATGTTAATTGGAAATGCTACCAAAATAATATATATATATTTATAAAAGCAAGTTCCTCAATCTTAGCTTTTTTTTTTTGGAGGGGGGGCTGGGAAGGGGGAACGGAGACAGAAGTTTTTCCAAAAGGTTATTTATTTAAATAAAACCCCACCAAAATCACACACGTTTTTTTTTTTCCCGAAGGGGCAAGACAAAAACAGAACTAAACTCCAAAAACGGAAATGAGAAGTGCTTTACAGAATCACCGTCCGTTGCCGTAACCCGGGAAGAGCTGAACGAGAAGATCCTGCAGGGGTTGGTTGACTTCCATCGTATAGTTTTTGCCGAGATCGTAGCGGCAGGCTGGACAGCTGTAGACTTTGGCTCGAAAAGATCGATCCAGGCAATCCTAGAAGAAAACAGACAAAAGCTAACAATGGGACTTACGCTTAAACAACAACTTTGATCAACCTAATCCTCCTCCCGGAGAAGATTTTGGTCCAAAGCAGATTAAAAATGTAAATCCAGTGGAACAAATCTCTTTAAAGTTTAATTGTGGAGGTTCTATGTAAGCTGGAGAAGCAGGGATGGAGGAGAGCGGGATTAAGCTCCGAGTACCACTTTTGTGGGGAATTTAATTTTTTTTAAAAAAAACCGTTAAACTGTATGTTTTGGGTGGTGGAGTTATAATCTAACACTTTTTGTTTTATGTTCAGATTCCAACACTTTCTGTAACAAGTATTTCCAATTTGGTTATCAAATTAGTTCCACGTACAGATAATCCTCAATTTACGATCAACACTGGAACCGGAACTTCAGTTGCTAAGTGAGGCAGTTGTTAGATGGGTTGCACCTGATTTACAACCTTTTCTGTAGCAATTGTTGAACGAATCCTGCTTCCCTCCCCATTGCCTCTCTTGTCTGATTTGCCTCCTAGGCAGCATCTCTTTCCCTCATACCCCAAAATCATCCATACATTCCATTACGGTCTTTAAGTGAACCACCACTGTCATTAAGTGAATCCAGCTTCCTCCAACGCCTTTGCTTCTTCAAAGTCCCTGGGGAAGGCTGTAAATAGTAATCACATGATCCCAGGATGCTCCAGCTGTCGTAAATGCATGCCGATTGCCATGCACTCAAATTTTGATCACTTGACCCTGAGGATGCTGCTCCCCTGCAGGCCGGTGCACCCGGGTGGAGGAGCTGCTCCAGGATGACCAAAGGGCCAGTCCTGTGACTACTACAGCTCTGGAATATGTGACCGACTTTCCCACCAACGTCAGCAAGCCACCGTCAGTCTGCCCGTTCTTCTTTTCCTTCACTCAGATTGACCAAGCTTCTTGAGAGAAGGCACACAAAAGAGGTTTCCAGGCTGTGTCCCTGGACCAGACGCTTCCTCTCGGCCTCCCACCCGGAGGCCTCGCAGGAGCAGACAGGTAGGCTCAAAAGGCGGCTGAGCCTCTCCCCCCCCCCTTGTCCACGGGATTTAAAATCATGAATTTGGTGGTCCCTGAGGTCCAAAAGGTTGGCGACCCCTGACCTAGAGTCCCTAGGTTCCCACAAGCAATCCGACTCCAGCCCTCCTTGAATTTGGTTGACTCTTACTTAACCCCAATTTAGTGCTAACCATCAGTTGACTAGATTCTTGTGTACAGGCATGAGCAATAAATCATCTTAACTGGAATTTGATGTGAGGTCCCAATTCTTCACACCTTGCACTTCCTCTCCAATTAAGACACCAGAGAGCCTGGCTAGGTGGCTCAGAAACTGAGATTGTCGATCAGAAAGTTCGGCAGTTCAGTGGTTCAAATCCCTAGTACAGGTCTCCTGCGTGAGCAGGGAGTTGGACTAGATGACCTCCAAGGTCCCTTCCAACTCTGTTACTGTTACAGTATGTTCCTCTGATGAAAACGTCATGACAGGGCAGGTCTGGTATGCAATGGAAGAGACCAGCAAAATCAAAGGGGGAACCCAGATTTGATTAATCACCCCACCCAAAAAGTGATAAAATCAGGCGTGGCTCACTTAATCGCTCAGTGAGGAAAGTTCTAGAGTACGGGTGTCAAACTCGCAATGACGTGTCGTGACCTTTTTTCCTTTCATAGAACTGGGGTGGGCGTGGCCTGCATGTGACGCATCCAGCCCGTGGGCCGCCAGTTTGACACCCCTGTTCTGGAGTGAACTGTGGTCGTAAATTCAGGACTGCCTGTATTTTCTATCATCACCATGTCTCACCCTGCCCTGCCTACCCAAAGCTGCTTAAGGAAAGCCCTGGACCACCTTGGCAGGCAAACGTGAAACCTGACAGCTGCTCACCTTACATACGTTGTGCTGGCACACCGTGGTGATTGGTCGGAAAACCACCTCTTGGCAGCAGATGCACAGAAAGGTTTCCTCCACTTTGCTCAGGAATTTCTGCCAGGAGAGAGAAATAAGGTAGTTAATCCTCAGCCTCATCCTGCCTTATCCCTAACCCAGGAAATCATCAGTTATGCTCTCCCTACGTACCGGTCCTTCCTTAAGGGCATCTAGTGCTTCATTCCACAACTTGGTGTTGGCTTCATCGTCTTTGATGAGAGCCTTCTGCTGGGGAGTGAGTTTGTAGACTTCAACTTTAGTTTTCTTTGGGGTCGTGGCAGGAGAGGCACAAAGGTCCGAATCGTTTCCTGGAAAAGTACACAACCACACGGAATTTACTTCATCATTCATTCATCAAAGAGAGTGCCTGGAAGCTGTACGGATCTGGATGGGGAGAAACAGGCTCAGACTCAACCCATCCAAGACCGAGTGGCTGTGGCTTCCGGCATCCCGATATAGTCAGTTGGCACCAGCACTGACTTTTGGGGGCGAGTTGCTGGCCCCCACAGAGGGCTCGCAACTTGGGCGTCCTCCTGGATTCACGGCTGTCCTTAGAAGAACATCTGACGGCTGTGGCCAGGGGGGCCTTCTATCAGGTTCGCCTGATTCGCCAGTTGCGGCCTTTTCTGGATCAGGATGTCTTACGCACAGTCATTCATGCCCTCATCACATCCCACCTGGACTACTGTAATGCTCTCTACATGGGGCTCCCCTTGAGGAGCACCCAGAGGATCCAACTGGTCCAGAATGCGGCCGCGCGGGTGGTTATGGGGGCAACTCGGCACTCCCATGTAACACCTCTCCTGCACGAGCTGCACTGGCTCCCGGTGGTCTTCTGGGTGCGCTTCAAAGTACTGGTTACCACCTTTAGAGCACTCCATGGCTTAGGACCCGGGTACTTACAAGACCGTCTTCTGCCACCAGTAGCCTCCCACCGACCAGTACGCTCCCACAGAGAGGGCCTCCTCAGGGTGCCGTCGGCCAGACAATGCCGGCTGGCGGCCCCCAGGGGGAGAGCATTCTCTGTGGGGGCACCTACCCTCTGGAACGAGTTGCCCCCAGAGATACGGCGGATCCCTGACCTTCGTGCTTTCCGAACTGCCCTAAAGACGTTTTTGTTTCATCAAGCTGGGCTGGCCTGACCTACTTTTTTTAAAAAGAATTGTTTTAAAAAATTAGGGGTTTTAATATAGGGTTTTTAACTATGGGCCAAATTGATTTAATTGGATTTTAATATTGTTTTAAATTTTGTATCTGTATATTTTATTTGTTGGCTGTTCACCGCCCCGAGTCCCTCGGGAGAAGGGCGGTATATAAATATAATAAACTATAAACTATAACTTCAAAAAGATGTGCAACTCAGCTCAAGAAGATCATTTACCGGATTTCCTTTTCCTCTTCCCTTGAACTGGGGATTCTTCTTCTATTTTCTTGCTGTTTTCTTTATCTTTGTTTGCAACCGCTTCCAGGTACCCTTCGGGATACTAAAGCAGGGGTGATGAAAAAGTCAGTTGTGACATAACCTCTGCCTATCGGAACAACGGATGGCTGCTCATCGCCACCCTTTACAAGACAACACTCCCCACCACCACCACCACCCCGTGTACCTGCATGGTCAGGCCAAGTTTCTTCATCCTCTCTTTGCCTTCTCTGGTCCAAGGGGCTGGCTCTTCATCGTCTCTCCTGAGCATGTAACGCCAAACCAAGAAGCCAGATTTCCCTGTTTCGGGCCAATATTTAACTACCTGTAAAAGGGAACAGAGAAACAGGTTTCAATTCCATGAAAACAGTTTGTTGTAGTAGTTAAGGTACCAGGCTAGAAATCAGGAGACGGTGAGTTCTAGTCCTGTCTTAGGTATGAAAGCCTGCTTGATGACTTTGGCCCAATTACCAGGAGACTGTGAGTTAGAATCTCCTCTTAGGCATGAAAAATGGCTAGGTGAGACTGTGAATTCTAGTCCCGCCTTAAGGCATGAAAGCCAACTGGGTGACTTTGGGCCACTCCTCCGTCTCAGCCCAACCCACCTCACAGGATAATTGTCATCGGGAAAAAGAGAAGGAAGGAGAATTAGGTGCGTGTACCACCTTAGTTATTTATAAAAATAATAAAGGTGGGATACAAAAAAAAAATGGAATAAAATAGAATAAAATAAAGTGGCCAGGCACAACACCTCCTTTCCCCAAGCTTTGGGGCCCCATTTATAAACCAACCCAATCTTACCTTATAGATCCCATCGTAACGATTTCCATCTGTGGGGGCATATTTGCTGTATCGGCCTCCCTTCATGTTCCGCACCACTCGAACTGGTTTCCCAGCTCGCCAATCCTTGGCTTCGGCACCCTCTTTATCGTTAATCGGCGCACTGCAGTTCAGGGCCAGAGCTCTGCCAACCGTGAAAAGACAAAGGGGTTGAAGGGTCTTTCCTGGGGACTTTGATAACTCCCTTCTATAGGTAGTCCTCAACATACAGTTATTCATTTAGCAACCATTCAAAGTTACGACACCGAGAAAAGTGATTTACAACCAGCAACCAATCACTCCAGCATTCCCAAGTCACGTTATAAAGTGGCATTATCACATGAAAATACCACATTATAATGCTTTGGTAAGAATACACTGCATCCAGTTTTAGTCATGATATAAAAAGATGTTGAGACTCTGGAAAGAGTGCAGAGAAGAGCAACAAAAATAATTAGGAGTCTGGGGGCTAAAACATACCGAGAACGGTTGCAGGAATTGGGTATGTCTAGTTTAATGAAGAGAAGGACGAGGGGTGACATGATAGCAGTGTTCCAATATCTCAGGGGTTGCCCCAAAGAAGAGGGAGTCAAGCTAATCTCCAAAGCACTTGAGGGCAGGACAAAAAGCAACGGATGGAAACTAATCAAGGAGAGAAGCAACCTGGAACTAGGGAGAATTTTACTGACAGTAAGAACAATTAATCAATGGAACAACTTGCCTCCAGAATAGTGGTGAAATCTGAACCAGTTTACAACCGGTTCGCTGGCTGCGCATGCACAGCACGCACCAAATGTGAGGTGCGCACGTGTAATGCCCACCAAAAGGAGGCATGCAGTAAATAGAACAGGGCGCGAGGGGGGGTGATCAGCTGTGGTGCACAATCTTTGCACTGCTCAGCTGTGATCGTCAGCAGCTTTTGACCGAAGGCCAAAGAGATTGTAGAAAAAATGCTTTTAAAAGTAAAAAAAAAAAGCCTCTGATGATCGCGCAGCTCAGCTGGGCATGGGGGGGG